GCAGATGCTCAAACACTCACAATCACTCTCAATCATCCAGCTTTAAGTGTATTAATCAAATAGTTGTTTAGAAGCAATTGTATTTATTGTAATTTTTACAACAGAGAAAGGAAAAATAGATCAACAAAAAAAATCAATTAAATAAAATTATACATATATATTTTTGATTTCATTTAAGATTGAATGAACCGACTCTTATGACTCATTAGTTCGTGAATCGGATGGTCGAGCTCAATGCATTTACAAATTGCCAGATTTATTTTTCCAAATAAATAAACAAGCAATGCACTCACAGTCTGATAAACAGCAGATTTAGTGTAAATCAATGAACCATGAAGAGGATCATCATCCTCATCATCTTCTTCTTCTTCTTCCTAGGGTTTATTGGTGGTTGGCAAACAACTTATTGGTGCATTTCCGACACCACCTGGTATGGAGTGTGGACCAGCAAGTCATATATAGCTACATTGTTCAAAAAATAAAAATAAGTAAATAAATAAAATAAAGCCTATATCAGGGGTGCCCAAACTCGGTCCTGGAGGGCCGGTGTCCTGCAGAGTTTAGCTCCAACTTGCCTCAACACACCTGCCTTTAAGTTTCTAGTATGCCTAGTGAGAGCTTGATTAGCTGCTTCAGGTGTGTTTGATTAGGGTTGGAGCTAAACTCTTCTGGACACCGGCCCTCCAGGACCGAGTTTGGACACCCCAGGCCTATATCCTTCCACTCATATTCGTTTCTCTAAGATATTGAAACAATAGATTATAACACGTCTTTTGACTCTTTCCGCAAAATATCTATTAAATCGTATTTTCATCTCTCCCAGTTTTTGAATGAAATGCCTTCTTTCTGTTCCATATTTCTGACAATATATCCTCACACGTTCTACTGTCTCACATTTCCCTGTGTTATCTTGAACTGTGTTTCATTTAGTCCGGTGCGTCCAAACCTCGATATTATTATTTCTTCTCTCCTATTCCTCCCTGTATAGACCTCATTTCTCCCACTTTCCTTTGAATCCTATGAAACCATTACCCTTTTCTTGTTTCTTCCCATTGACTTTACCGCTCAATCTCTTTTTAATGATGCTCTAGATTTCTGCCTTGCCGATATTAACTGTGAAATCAATATGATTACTTTTGTAACGTCCTTTGCTATTTTATCTGCCATTTCACTTCCTTTAATTCCGTTGTGTGCTGGAATCCATAAAAAACCCCATAAGCCCCATCATTTAATTCTGTATAGTGTTTCTCTCATCTTTATTCAAATATCTGGCCTGCTGTTTGAACACTGTAAACTGGTTAACAAAGAGCTTGAATCTGAACAAATGATTGCGCTTAGTGGCCTTGTATCTTCTATCTCTCATTGCTAGTGGCATTTCTCCCATTTCAACCTGAAGTGCCTCTGTTGGGGTTGTTTTAAATCCTCCCGTGCATAACCTCAATGCCTGATATTGCACCCTATCCAATTTAAGCAATGTGAATCTAATATTGATCTAATTAGTCCCACGTATATATTGCCTTAAAAGCCATTCTGTCTGCTCCCCATTCACTTCCAACTAAGCACCTCATTACATGTAATATTTTCTTACACTTGTCTATTACTGTTTCTATATGGACAGCCCATGTAATTCTTTCATCAAACCATAATCTTGAAAATGTTAAATGTTTCACCCTAATTCTTGATTATATAACTTAAAAGTTATTCCACAGTCAACTACTTTCCGTATAAAGATCATTGTTTTAGTTTTTTCAACTGAAAATTAAAAACCCCATTTATATGACAATTCTTCTTTTTTTAATAAAACAGTACTTACCAGGGCTCTCAAGTTTTATCAAAGGTTTGGAGTGAGATTACATCCGTTAGGGGAGGAGCCACTCAAATATTTGCAGCAGCGGCCCCCCGGACCAATTCTCTCAAGTTTTTGCTAGCAGTTCAAAATGACTAAATGATTCAAAATGCTGCACATTTCTTTGTGAAATTGAAATAGGTCAAATAACAAAACTAAATTGAAATTTTAAAACAAACCCCAAATCAAATAAATATAGACCTAATATAAACAAACTAAGACTTTACCTGTGCTCTTTCCACTTAAAATTAGAGGCAACCACTGCATTTTAATCATGCATTTAACCTTGCATTTTAATCTAAATATTTTTTTTTCTCAACTTCAAATTTGGAACAACTTTTGTAGACATATGGCTTTAATTTTATAACAATTTTGTATTTTTAACTTTTTTCAAATATTTATTTTATATAAAAGAAAAGAAAAATAGTACAATACGTTTTCTTTACAGTGAATTTAAACTTCGATAACTTTAATACTTTCACTTTATTAAATAAGATGATGTAATAATCTGCTAATTGTCTTCTTTAAAAAGAGACCAACCTTAGGTCTGTATTCAAAAGCGTTCATGAATTATAATTTAAGTTTGGATAGTGCACTTTCTCCTGGATTTTCACAAATGGGGATAACAGTTAAGGGGTTAAACTATCAATTCTCCAATTCTCACAGCAGTTCAGAGTGAAGCTGAAAGATTATTAATGAGGGTTGATTGCTGTAATCACACATCAATTAACCCTGTGAATGTGTGAGAAGTAAAGACAAAATTTGCAAATATGAGCATTTAACTATTTAAGCATTTAACTCGGTTGTTCATTTTGTGTTACACTATTTGTTTGTTAATTAATCACATGAAATAGCTTATCGTTCAACACAATCTTTACATGTTTTAAGTTTTAAGTTTGGATAGTGCACTTTCTCCTGGATTTTCACAAATGGGGATAACAGTTAAGGGGTTAAACTATCAATTCTCCAATTCTCACAGCAGTTCAGAGTGAAGCTGAAAGATTATTAATGAGGGTTGATTGCTGTAATCACACATCAATTAACCCTGTGAATGTGTGAGAAGTAAAGACAAAATTTGCAAATATGAGCATTTAACTATTTAAGCATTTAACTCGGTTGTTCATTTTGTGTTACACTATTTGTTTGTTAATTAATCACATGAAATAGCTTATCGTTCAACACAATCTTTACATGTTTTAAGTTTTTACTATGAACAACATTGCTTCATTTCACGTCGCATGACATAATAAACCGACTCTTATGAATAATCAGTTCGTGAATCGGACACTAGTCGAGCTCAGTGGATTTATAAGTTGTCAGATTTATTTCACCCAAATAAAAGGTACACACAGTCTGGTAAACAGCAGATTTAGTGGTTGAAATGAAAACAAACATCGTCATCTAGAGGAAAATCTGTGGTACTGACCATCTATTATCATAACTTCATATTGAAATACTGCAAGTTATTCTGAGGATCAAGAATCAACAATCTTTTAACCCTATAAAGCCGGATAATGAATTACCCGTCAGAAATATTTTTTCTGTAACAGTTTAATGAACATTTAGACAAACTATTTACTTCTGTACAGTTGATGAACCTCTTGGTTTCATGCAAATTAAAGCACATTCAGTATTAACCTGAAAGTGATGGATCTGAACATGAGTTTTGCTCACTTAGACAACTTTGGGCAATGCTTTTTCTTATGTTTTAGTAGATTAGAGGAACAGGTGAAACACCTCCCACACGAAGAGCACTGGTACGGCTTTTCTCCAGTGTGAACTCTCAAATGGGTTTTCAAGGCTGATGACTGAGCGAAACTCTTTTCACAGTGTGAGCACTTGTACGGTTTCTCTCCAGTGTGAATCTTCTGGTGTTTGTTTAAGTCGCTGGATGTAGCAAAGCTCTTCCCGCACTCAAAGCACATATAAGATCTCACTCCAGTATGAATAGTCTGGTGAACTTTTAAAGTTTTTAGCACTGAAAAACTCCTTCCACAAAAAGAGCAAAAGTGAGGCTTCACACCAGCGTGAACTTTAAGATGCGTTCTCAAATTAGATGCAAAAGCAAATGTTTTATCACACTGATCACAGCTGAATGATTTCACTCCAGCGTGAGAGAGCTGATGTCTCCTCAGAACACTTTTGGATGTGAAACTCTTCCCACACTGAGTGCATGTGAAGGGTTTTTCTCCAGTGTGAATTCTCATGTGTATCTCGAGTTTTGATTTACGTGCGAAACTGTTTCCACACTGAGTGCATATATAAGGCCTTTCTCCAGTGTGAGATCTCATGTGCATCTTAAGGTGCGATTTATGTATGTAACCGTTTTCACACTGAGTGCATGTATAAGGCCTCTCTCCAGTGTGAATTTTCAAGTGCACAGTCAAGTATCTTTTGCGCAAAAAGCGCTTTCCACACTCGGAGCAGCTGAAAGACCCTTTGTCTCCAGTTACGCGAGTTTGTTTTTGTGCGAAATTCTTTTCAGTCTGTAAAACGGTGGCGTTTCCATCTTCGTTTATGAACTTAGGTTTTTGAAACTGATGCTGTTTGTCTTCATTCGCTTCCACGGAGTCTGAAATAAAAATATTAAATCCCCAAAATTCAATTAAAGAAAGACAAATGAGAAACTAAAAGAAAGCCTCAATTTGGCACAAATATAGTTTACTATTGGGTCTATTAGCTTTAAGTTTTAAATGTATTGTTATACATGTCAGTTTTCATCTTAAATGTTCCTCATCAGTCTTTAAAGAGAATGAAGGAGAACACCAACCTGTTTGTTCCTCTGTATCTTCATCTTTAATTCTGCAGGGCATATATGAAATTGCATTGCATTTCTAGACACAGATTATGATTTTGCACAGTTCTAATTTAAGCTACTTTTTTTTTTAATTACAAACTTTATTACAGAATTTGAGTGAAAAGTTCTCATGCATTTGAATGATATCTGACCTATAAGTAGTGACCTGTAAATACTGTTTTCTTTGTTTTTCAAAATTAAAAAAATTCAATATTTTCCCCCTTCACTCATTTGACACGATTACATTTTTCTTTGCGTGATGTTTTTGGGTTGCTTTTCATTATTTGATTTTATTGTTTAATAACTAACAAATAAAACACAAACGTTCACAAACATTTTCTCAGATTTTCAATTGTATTTCGGTGTATATAACTGATTACTCTGTAATGTTTGTTCAGTCAAAATTACGTTTAATTAGCAATATTTTACATCTTCTGCAGCTCTTCTGCATTCAAGTGCACAATGATTCCTGTTTTTGAGTTTCTTGAACCAAAAGATCACCAGGGATTTTATGTCTGTGTTATTTTTACTGAAAGATTCTTTGTGAAAGGTCATTTAAGTGTCAATGTCTATATCTGAACAAGTGTCTATTTTTTAGTCATTCTGGCCATTGTGGAATTTATCGCAATACTTCTGTTTTTTTTAATGAGCATATGGTGGTTTTGTAACTGTAAAATACAGTTGATTTACAAATTTTAATATATTTAAAAAAGTAAAATTGAACTTTTGCTATACTTTCATAAGCTTTGCATTGTATTATCAGGATGGTCTTGCTGGTCTATAGAATATAAAACAATGAAAAATACAGGTACTTTAAGAGCTAGTTATTTATTTATAAGTGTTGTAATGAAATAAGCAAAGATAAAAAGATGAAAATAAGACTTGAACAAACGTGTTATTTTCACGTTCAACCACTAGACAGCAGAAGTTAATTTCAGAGCAAACTCGGGTCTGTTTTATGGAACTGTCAATATTTATAGGTACTTCACTTTTAAGGGTTAGTTGTCAAAGTAATTTACAAGTAAGATGAAAAAAGATACGTGCATAAAAAAACTTAATATCACTTTTTTAATTTTAAGGCTTGTTGCCGTCTCTGTTTTAGGAGCCTATTGAATGATATTTTTTTGTGTCAGTAACTTTAATTTTATTTTTTAGTTTTATGTGCAGTTTGGGATTGAATGACAGATTTCACATTCAAATGTCCTTAGCAAGAATTCAGATCATAAAATTCACATTAAATATCTCATTAACGTAGGCCTAATACAATTTAAGATTACAATTCAGCTTTTTTATTCATCTAGTTAGCCTATTTGGATGTGAAAGTGCCAACTGCAATGTTTGATTCTGACATAGGAGCACATTTTACCTGCCATATTTATTCATTGTATAAATTACGTGTGTGGGTGATTTGGAAAGGTTTCAGATTTACACTAGTAGATTTTCATTATCATTTTAGAATCAGTCAGGCGTCAAAGATGGAGGATAATAAACAAGCTACACAGATATTTAAAACTTTCCAAGAGTTGCATTCGGGGCACAACATAAGACCCTGATGTTCAGGGCCGTCGCTAGAAATTCTGGGCCCTGTGCACTGAATTTGCTGTGGGGGCCCCTCAAAATCACGTTCAAGGGGGGCGGGGGGGGTGGTGTGATATTAAAATTTTTTTTATTTTTGGTTGAACCTCCCTTTAAGAACTTTATTATTTGTAAATAATAAACTCCTAATTTATATAAGACACTGATATTTATCTTTAATCAGGCCCTTATTGAATTAACATTTTACTTCAATTAAAATTCATTAGAACTAAACATCTAAAAAGAACGAAGTTTTTGCTTAGAATCCAGAGTTTAACTGATTAGTAGGATGGTGGTCACAAGAAGTAAAACCATGGTCCTCATTACCATGGTTATATGGTTTTTAAAGGGGTCACCGTATGCCCATTTTCCACAAGTTGACATGATTCTTTAGGGTCTTAATGAAAAGTCTGTAACATAGTTTGCTTAAAATTTTTCAATGGTAGTCTAAAAAACACCTTTTTACCCTGTCAAAATCAGCTCTTTTCAGAGCAAGCCGTTTTGTAGCATTTTCCTTTTAATGTTAATGAGCTCTGCTGACCCCGCCCCTCTCTTCCGAGCCGCTCCCTGAGAGACTGTTTACTTTAGCCGCATTCATCGTGAAACTTGCTAATTAGCACATTATTAGGAAAGGCGATTTTCATCATTGCTGGTTATTGTTTAATAACTAACTAATAAAACGAAGTAATAAAAAACACAAACGTTAACAAAAAAAAAAATCTCAGATTTTCAGTGTGGTCTCAAACTTTTGGACTACAGTGTATTTTTATCATTTCTATGTTTGTTCAGTCAGAATTACATCTTTAATTAGTATATTTTTATATCTCCTGCAGCTCTCACACATTCAATCTCTTCTGAGACTCTGAAATATGTGAGTTTTATGACGTACAGACAGTAAAATGACAAGAAAACGAAAAGAAATGACACTAGAAAATGCAACTGAAAAGAATGAAATGCAGAAAAAGGAAAGTGCACCGAGAGATGAAGTCAAACCTGCACAGAAGGAAAAAACAATGAATGAAGGAAAAGAAAATGCCTGTGGATTCAGAGAACATCTAAAAGTGCGACAAATGAACAGCTCTGACAGATTTTGACCAACTTGTAAGAAAACATACATATTATATATTATTATGCATCTCAAGATGTGGATGTTAATGATTAAAAGAGTTGAGAGCATTGAAATACAGGTTCCAAACTGATGTTTGTTTTCATTTTTCTTCCAGTCTCTCTTGATCAGGAAAGACCTGCATCATAGTGTCGTTCTGATGCATCTGAGAAATTCAGAGATGAGGTAAGAAATCCCCAACTCATGCATAAAGGAAATAAATCCATATAAATCCTGACATTGTGTTTTCTCTTTAGAAATCTGCAGTTGAGCTGGCAGAATATTCCTCAAGTCACTTTCAGTCAATGATTCACAATGAGACTGGAATACAAAGGTGTTTTTGAACCTGAAACGCATCCAATTATCTACGGTCATAAATGGAGTCGAGTGTCTTGTTCAAGTGTCTTGATGTTTTTGCGTTGCTTGAACCAAATTATTGTCTGTATTATTTTTAATGAAAAATTCTTTATGAAAGGTCATGTAAGTGCCAGTGTCTATGTTTTAATCATTTTGGCCATTGTATAATTGGTCAATTTCTGTCTTTTTTTTTGTTTTGTTTATTGTTGATGGTGTTTTTGCACTGCATCAGTGCACAATAAATATTATACAATTATAAAAATGTGTCAGTTGATTTAGACCTCCAGCAGAATGCTCCAAAATTTGAGCAGCTAATATATGTAAAAATATGATTGAACTTTTGCTATACTTTCAGGAGCTTTACATTGTATTATCAGAATGTTCCTGCTGGTCTATAGAATAAAACCAATAAAAAATACAGGTAGCCTACTTAAAGAGTTAGTTATTTACAAGTGCTGTAATGAAATGAGCAAAGATAAGAACATGAAATCGAGACTTAAACAAACTGCTATTTTCACATTCAACCACTAGATGGCAGAAGTTCATTTCGGAGCAAACTCTGTTTTATTGAAAGTAGCCTATATTAAAACCTAAGATGATACAACTTGAAAAAAAAAATTTCAGTGCAAAATCAAGGCTTTTTGCTGTCTCTGCTTGGGGAGCCTATATTGAATGATTTTTATTTTATTTTATTTATTTATTTCTGTGTGTGTGTGTGTTTGAGTATTTACTGAGTAACCTACATTTTCTTTTTAGGACTTTAGTTTTATGTGCAGTTTGGGATTTGAATTACAGATTCACATTCAAACGTCCATATCAAGAATTCAGATCATACAATTCACATTAAACAACTTATTCATGTAATGCAATTCAGTTCAGGTTTTTTAATTCATCTATTTGGGTGTGAAAGTGCAAATTGTGACATGGGAAGGAACTCATGTTACCTGCCATATTTATTCATCTGTAAACATATAAATTACATGTGTGGGGGATTTTGAAAGGTTTCAGATTTACACACTTTGGTAGGCTATATAGATTTTCATTATCATTTTAGAAGTCACCTGTGTCCTGCCTGAATGAGTATCGTCCCATAACACTGACCCCAATCATGATGAAGGGCTTTGAGAGGTTAGTCATGCACCATATCAAATCCAATCTCCCCAACACACTTGACCCGCTCCAGTTTGCATACCGTCCAAACCGCTCCACGGACGATGCTATTTCCTCCACCCTCCACCTGGCTCTTACCCACTTAGAAAACAAAGACTTCCCTCCCACAGTCTCTTCCAGCTCTTGCCATCAGGTAGGCGGTACCGGAGCATCAGGGCACACTCTGCAAGACTGCTCAACAGCTTTTCCCCCCAGGCTGTGAGAGCCCTCAATTCCAATCACCTCACCCCCCCTCTGAAACCTCATCCACAACCCTAGCTCCTGAAACCAGGACCCTTTCTCCCCCCATCCCACCCCACATGCACCACATGCAAACTGTTGAAAACCTCAAGAACATTGTGCAATTCTGAGTGTGCTATACACAGGTGAGTGGGCTGGACAAACCACCTGTAGAAAAACACACTCTTTTCTCTCTATATGTACCAGACACTTTCTTATAAACACTTCATGTTACAAGGACTTCAAACGGTAACAAATGTTTACTTGTGAATGCACCACAAATCATACTGCACTACTTGCTTCTTAACCTTAAATACCTCTTTTGCACAATATCATGCACAGTCATTATGTAAAGTACTTGTATAGTCTGTCTTAGGTTATGTGTATGTATAGTCAACTATTTATAGTATATGAACACACAACTTAAAACACATTTGCTTAGTGTGGATTTCTAATTTATTATTATTATTATTTTGTTTACATGAAGAGATATATTGAGATATTATCATTTGTATCTTTATTTGACTTCTATTATCTGTACAGCACTTTGGTCAACCCTGGGTTGTTTTTAAATGTGCTTTATAAATAAATAATGAATGAATGAATGAATGAATGAATATGTATAGTTAGATTACCGCTTCAGATAGTTAGCTACGTAGGTCTAAAGATTGTTCTTACGTCTAGTGTTGTACGTTTATATTATGTTTATTTATGTAGCACCGTGGTCCTGCGAGACCCGACATTTCTTCCACTGTATGTCCACACATGTAGCGGAATGACAATAAAGCTCAACTTGAACTTGAACTTGAACTTGAACTTGAGAATCAGTCAGATATTGACTGTAATAAGAATAATAAGAAGCTACACATATATGAAACTTTCCAAATGTTACATACGGGGCACAACATAAGACCCTGAATGTTTAGGACTACAGTGTCATGCTTAACTTTATTTTTGGCACACTTCACTCCTCTCTGCTCACAAGAACTGCCAACGCCTCTTTACGCACCGGAGAACACGTAGACCCTGCTCATAACCTACAAAAAATCAAAACAAACACAGGATTGTTATGCGGTTACTGAACAGATAAAGATTTTTAAGAAAGAGGCTAGTTCTTGATCACGTTATGGGACGTCCCAAATTAAGTAGGCTACTTTTAAAGGAGGGTGTAAACACTTTTTTTTTTGTTGCTACGGATTAAATATTGACGTGCTCTGCTGGATTTAGACAAAAAGTGTGTTTCTGTGGATATTGCTTTAATTCATCGTTGTGGATCTTCAAGCTAAAAATACGGTGCTTATTCGTAAGTTTCATTGTATTTAGTAATTGCTTTGTAGTTTTATTTTTAAGATTTGTAAAGCTGTGGCATCTTCTTAAACTGATGCAGGGACCTTTTGACATACTTATTGTTTTATTGTTTATATCTGAAAGACTGGTATTTTTATGTAATGTTCAGAGAGAGAAAAAACAAAACAAAAAACCAATGCCCCGATGCCCCGCAGAATATTCAAAATGCATTTGTATAAATCACTTTTAGATATAGTATATTAATACATAAATAGCAATACATAAAATTATATATAAATAGCAATATATGATATTGCATTCTACAGTACATATGCTTTTAAAAATCATCCAACACAATGGGATTTCCATGAACAGCTCATTCTATGAAATACGAATTTAACCTCAGTAAAAGTCAACAATTATCCATATGGCAACTGTGAAAAAGTACTTGCCCTCATAAATCAACAAAATTTTCATTGACAATTAAATTTAGGAGGCTGAACACAGGTAGGCATTTCTGTTGAGTTTAAATTGCATATATATTGAACCATTCAACCAAAGAGAAGTGCTCACCTCAAAGCTTCATACTCCACATTCAATTCCTCAAAAAAAAAAAAAAAAAAACTGCTGAGAAAATAAAGTTTTTTTAAGAATATCAGTTTGGAAAGGGTTACAAAGCCATTTCAAAGGTTCTTGGACTCAATTGAACCACAATGTGAGTCATTACTTTCAAATGGAGGAGGTTCGAAGTGGTGGTGAACACACAAAAGTGGCCAGCCTGCCAAAATTTCTTCAAGGGCATTGTGGCTCCCCCTCGGGAAGTTTCAGATAAATCCCAGAATATGTTTTCAAAGAACTGCCGATATCTCTAGCATCAGCTATAAGGTCGGTGTTCACGACTTATAAAGAGAACAATAAGAAGAGTAGCAAGGCGAAAAACCACTGCTTGCCAAGAGGAACATCAAAGCTCATCTCATGTTTGCACCTGGATGATCCCTGGATGAATTCTGGGGAAATATCCTATGGATAGACGAGTACCGCTAATACAGCATTCTACTGCAAGAATGTCATATCTATAGTGAAACATATAGTGACAGCTTGAGTCTGTGCGGATGTGCTGCTGTCTTGGGAACTGGATGACTTATCACTGCAGGAAGCATAAGTTCTGCTGTATACCAGGCAATTCTTAGGAAGAATATCCATCCATCTGTGCATAAGCTGAAGCTTAAGTGTAACCGCGTGATGCAGCCAGACAACAAACCAAAACTCAGAAGCAATTGCAGATCTGAATGGCTGAAAGGAAACAAAAATGCAAGATTTAGAGTAGTTTAGTCAATGTTCTGACCTGAATACTTTGAGGGCCGAAAAAGAGCAGTGAATAAATGGTATTCTACTGGTATCTGGTATCTACCAACTTGAACTTGAACTTGAACTTGAGAATCAGTCAGATATTGACTGTAATAAGAATAATAAGAAGCTACACATATTTGAAACTTTCCAAATGTTACATACGGGGCACAACATAAGACCCTGAATGTTTAGGACTACAGTGTCATGCTTAACTTTATTTTTGGCACACTTCACTCCTCTCTGCTCACAAGAACTGCCAACGCCTCTTTACGCACCGGAGAACACGTAGACCCTGCTCATAACCTACAAAAAATCAAAACACTTGAGAATCAGTCAGATATTGACTGTAATAAGAATAATAAGAAGCTACACATATATTTGAAACTTTCCAAATGTTACATACGGGGCACAACATAAGACCCTGAATGTTTAGGACTACAGTGTCATGCTTAACTTTATTTTTGGCACACTTCACTCCTCTCTGCTCACAAGAACTGCCAACGCCTCTTTACGCACCGGAGAACACGTAGACCCTGCTCATAACCTACAAAAAATCAAAACAAACACAGGATTGTTATGCGGTTACTGAACAGATAAAGATTTTTAAGAAAGAGGCTAGTTCTTGATCACGTTATGGGACGTCCCAAATTAAGTAGGCTACTTTTAAAGGAGGGTGTAAACACTTTTTTTTTTGTTGCTACGGATTAAATATTGACGTGCTCTGCTGGATTTAGACAAAAAGTGTGTTTCTGTGGATATTGCTTTAATTCATCGTTGTGGATCTTCAAGCTAAAAATACGGTGCTTATTCGTAAGTTTCATTGTATTTAGTAATTGCTTTGTAGTTTTATTTTTAAGATTTGTAAAGCTGTGGCATCTTCTTAAACTGATGCAGGGACCTTTTGACATACTTATTGTTTATATGTTGATATCTGAAAGACTGGTATTTTTATGTAATGTTCAGAGAGAGAAAAAACAAAACAAAAAACCAATGCCCCGCAGTTTATTTACTGCAGTTTGTTCGGGAAAGCACAGAAAAGAAGGAAAAATTAGAGGAGACAAATGAAGAGGAGGAGGGATGAACATTCACAAGCCAGAGGATCAAAACCAGCAAATGCAGAGAATCTTGTTAAAAGGAACAGTATGGATCTTCCTGCGACTCTAAACTGTGAGTATTTAATAGTCCTGATGAATCCTTGATGAATAGATTTAGGACTTGCACAGAAATCACAAACAGTGATATATTAAGTCACTTTTTAGTTGCTTTTTAGTCATTGGAGTAACTTATTCAGTAAGTGATAAACCGACAGCAGCTAACTTTTTTTGTTGTCATCGTCTTCATCCATCTCTTCTAACATGCATTAATTCATCCCGCACTTAAAATCTATATAGGCTAAGGATAATTAAAAGCAGTATTATTTTTTTGTGTTTTCAGTCTCTCATGATGCAGACAGACCAGAGAGACATTTTGATGTATCAGAATCAAAGACGAGGTGAGCGATGCAGTTCATATACAGAGACAGACTCAAGACTACGTTCTGAAATGATTGAAGATGTTTTTCTTTAATGTTACTGAGAGTTTAGCCGATCTTCAGTTGCTCATATCTCCAGCAGATCATCTGAACACCGACCAGACAAACCTTTATGAATCTCTCAAGTTTCTTTGAATGGAGCTGCAATACTTAATTGTTTCCAGGCCTGGCTCCATCCAATCAGGAGCTGCTTCGGCAGCTTGGTATCAAAAATTCACATGTTTATTTAGAAAGTAGAAAGTATGTTAGTCTTGCCAGTTTACTGTAAAGGAAGTATCAAAGTTTCAACGGCTTTATTTTAATTTTTTTTCTACATTAATGTGTTTTTTCTACAACTGGAGTACCTCGGTTGTGTTGTTTCCTAATGAGGATTTACATTATTTTGCACATTGCATATTTTTAGCACAGAAACCTGAAAGACTGTCTTGACTGTTGTCATATCTTAAAGGGGTCATATGATGTGATTTAAATTGTTCCGTTCTCTTTGGAGTGTTACAAGCTCTTGGTGCATAAAGAAGATCTGTAAAGCTGCAAAGACTAAAGTCTCAAATCCAAAGAGATATTCTTTATAAAAGTTAAGAGTCAGCCACACCTACCTAAAACAGCTCGATCTAACACGCCCCCACATATCTACCTCACTATGTGGGAAGATTTGCATAACGCCGCCCAAATGTTCACGCAAACAAAGAAGGCATAACTTTTATTCTCGCTGTAGTATTGTTGTTGCCGCCGCCATGACGTGAAAACGCTGTGTGCTTCGTTGTGAAAGCGAAAATACTTTTTTTGGTCTTCCAAAAGAGGACGATATCCGCTTCGTCATGCTTAGAGCTGATCCGTGCTGGTCGCTGAGGAAATACTTCAACTTAGTGCTGTGGATCGCTGGATTGGCTTTCACCGTGTACGAAGCCCGGGGTCGTCACATGTGCTTGCCGCTCCTTCGTCGGATCCGCCGGCCGCGCCGTTCTCAACCCCGCCGCCTCAGCTCACTCTAACCCGGCCTCAGCGCACGCTAAGCCAGGGCTCACGCTAGGCCGTTGTGTGTTTCGTTGTGAAAGCGAAACTACTTTGTTTGGTCTTCCAAAAGAGGACACGACTACAAATCAGAGGTATTAATAAGTTGTTTTTACAGCACTGTTCCAGAACAGTTTAACCCAAATATCCAGATGTGTGCAGCACATTTTATGGAGGACTGTTTCCTGATTCTGGGAGAGTAACGTTAGACTAAAATGCCGGCAGTTCTGACTCACGCAAGTACGTTTTCATTTAAATGATTTGCCACTGATGATTCAAATGTGAGTTTTGGGCAGTGTGGAGTAGCACTTGTTGTTTGTCATTTCTCTGATCACAAATGCAGACATGGTTTTATGTTTACGCGGCGTGATGCAACGCAACGCGTAAAAAGACAGTATAAGTCATTATAATCAGTAACTATGTCCCCACTGGATGCAACAAATGCCTCGTTTATAATGGGTTTTAATGTTTTTGTCTCGTTGCTCCGGCCGGACAGGGCATCACAATATGTTGAGGGGCGTAACATTTCCGTCACACGCTTGAGGTATTCGGCCAATCACAACGCACTGGATAGCTGGCCAATCAGAGCACACCTCGCTTTTTCAGACCGATGAGCTTGAAAAAAATGTTGTTGTGAATGTCCCAATTGAGGAATAGGATGTGAAAATTTTAAATAAATGTTCATGTTACATGTTTTGGTTGCATTTGTGAGTTAATAAAAATGTAGATGGTTGTTTAAAATAGGTACATAATATAATAATATCGATATATTGATCGATATTCTCCTGTATCGAATTGTATCGAAATCGTATCGTATAATTTTTTGAAGTACCTGCAAATATCGTATCGCTGGGTATGAGAATCAATATCGTATCGTATTATGACGAACCATCCGATTTACACCTATAGTACTGTATAATATATTATATTGAGTATAATATTCGACAAGCAATGTTAACATGCGTGTTTCATATTTATGCATTATATAAGCTACACATAAGCTACAAATAAGCTAAACTGATTTTGTATTTTATTTCCAGTGTCTCAAGGTGCAGACAGACCTGAACGTGTCATTCTGATGGGTCAGAAAGGATCAAATATGAGGTGAGATATTCACCACAAAGAGAACAGGAGAGAAAACTGATTGTCATCATCAGTTATGATCATCATTCGTCTCTTCCTACTCATTAATATGAATTAGTATTTGGAAATAATGGTGAAAGAGCATCCCTGAACAGTTTTAATCATTAGATTCATTTTTTCTCTTTAGCAATCACAGCACATTAAAACCTCCTGGACCCGTCCTCCTGACAGCATCCCAATCAGCACAACGGAAATGAACAAGCCTTCATGAAACTGAAAATCACCTTCCGTTTAAAACTGATTTAAATTAGAAGAAAAAAAAATCTGAAAATAATTTTAGTAAAAAAGTAAGTAAAGTGCAGCTTATACAATTACAATAATATGAAGTTAGATATATGTGACCTTGGAGCACAAAAGCAGTCATAAGCAGCACAGGTATATTTGTAGCAATAGCCAGCAATAACGTTGTATGGGCCAAAATTATCGATTTTTCTTTTATGCCAAAATTTATTAGGATATTAAGTAAAGATCATGTTCAATGAAGATATTTTGTAAATTTCCTACCGTAAATATATCCAAACTTAATTTTTGATTAGTAATATGCATTGCTAAGAACTTCATTTGGACAACTTTAAAGAATATTTAATATTTTGATTTTTTTGCACCCTCAGATTCCAGATTTTCAAATAGTTGTATCTCGACCAAATATTGTCCGATCCTAACATTCATCAATGGAAAGCTTTATTTTCATTATTTATTCAGCTTTCAGATGATGTATACATCTCAATTTCTAAAAATTGACCCTTTTGACTGGTTTTGTGCTCCTGATCTGAGAAGTAAGTCACAACACAAGCGTGTGAATTGAAGCAAATACATCATGTGAAGTCTGTCAGATGCAAAAGTATATAGTGGAAAAATTTAACTGTGACTTTAGTCATTATATCACTTTTATAAGAAATACAGGATGAAATGGCAAATAAAATCATACATTGCTACAGAACAGACTACAACACAAATCATTATATAACAAGAAATAATAGGCTATGCACAAACCAACCGAACATATTCATTCAAAAACAGATCACCATGTGTATTTCATTTAGGTTTCATAACCGATTTTATTTTCTCTTATATTGTAAGTGTCAATTTAAATAGGAATTTAAAAATATTTGGTGCCATTCTAGTTGAATCAATATAAATACACACTTGATCAATGGTCAGTATGGTGTTTAAAACCTGGAATTCAGTTAAAAAAAAGTAAATGCATTCATAAAATGTTACATACATTTTGTTTTTTAATCAAAATCTCAAAATGTAGTGATTTCATTGCAAGAAAGTCTTTTCAAAATGTGCTCAATGCTTCAAGCTCTAAACAGCTAAACTAAAAAAAAAAAAAAAAAAAACGTGACTGTGGTTTGTTCATGATATGGATGATGATTTTATGGATTAACTTTGCCATTGATTAACAAATGCTCAAATGCAGTTAATATGATTAGTTTAACTCCTCGATACAAATTGTATCCATTAATAAACTGTAGTGATTTACAGCAACACACTAGTTTTCTGTAATCTTACTTTGACCTTTGTCAAATGATCAAACTTCTCTATTAATTTTATCAAATGACACTCTGAAACTAATTCCATCTTTTGCTTAATCTGAATTTTTAAATATTTACTTAAAAGTGATGGTAGTGAACATGAACTTTGATCACTTAGACAACTTTGGGCAATGCTTTTTCTTATGTTTTAGTAGAGTAGATGAGAAGGTGAAATTCCTCCCACATGAAGAGCACTGGTACGGCTTTTCTCCAGTGTGAACTCTCAAATGATCTTTCAGGACTCCTGACCGAGCAAAACTCCTTCCACAGTGTGAGCACTTGTAAGGTTTCTCTCCAGTGTGAATCTTCTGGTGTTTTTTTAAGTCGCTGGTTGTAGTAAAGGTCTTCCCACAGTCAAAGCACACATAAGGTCTCACACCAGTATAAATACTCTGGTGCACTTTCAAAGAGTTCAGATGTGCAAAACGTTTTTCACAAAAATAACAAATGTGAGGCTTCACACCAGTGTGAATTTTAAGGTTTTTAAAATTTTAAGGAATTTTAAGGATAATTCAATTCATGATCAGATGGGCCAAATTCAGGTTTGTCAGTTCTCAAGTTTACCACAATAGGTCGCCACTTTACAATTTACTGTATATTCAGCTAGCTATTTAATTCCCTTTGTGGTCATTAGTCATCTTGTACAGGTCTTAAAGGGTCATCGGATGCAAAATTCACTTTTGTTGTTGTTTGAACATAAATGTGTGTTGGAAGTGTGTGTAAACATCAACCCTATAATGATAAAAATCCACCCAGTGTTTTTTTTTTTTGAATCCCCTTTCTCAAATCAGGCTGTTCTGAGACTCCTGTCAGAATGATGTAGTTCTGCACAGGCCGCTCCCACAATAGTTGATTGACAAGGCCGTCTTACCTTAACTATTACCTTAACCGTCAACTCCGGTGCAGGGAAAGACAAGAACATCTCCGATTAAGCGATTGAGGTGTTTGATTGTTTTGTTTTACTCCCGACATCTGAGCCGCTGAAGACGCAGAGGATTAACATTACTTTCGTTTTGAAGGGAATGCGCCGATCCCTGATCTGCCTAAATGCGTCTATGTTCACGCGAATCATTCGTGATCCAGCTTCATCTACAGAAGAAGTGAGTATAAGGGTTTTTTATGAACCTTTGCAAATCGCCGTTCCTAATATGTGCTAGTAAGCAAGTTTTGCGGCTAAGTAAACAGTGCTGCTCCTTACCTCCCAGAAGAGAGGGGCGGGGCTAGAAGAGCTCATTAGCATTTAAAGCAAGATGGACTAGAATGGCTTGCTAAAAACAGAGCTCATTTTGACGGTAAAAAGGGTGTTTTTTACACTACCATTGAGACATTTTAACCTGTTTAATTTGGCTTTTGTGCCTCAGGATTGGTTATGGTCATTATAAATCAATTTTGCATATGGACCTCACAGATGCTGCTGAGTTAGTTTCAGCATAAGACCTATCCGGTGGGACACTCACAAAGACTCCATTGCTAAAAAGACCCAGCAGAGGTTACTTTCTTCACCAACTGAGGAAATTCAACCTCCATGCCACAGGACTTTGTCCTGTGTTCATCTATAACTGTTTGGTTTGGTTCAACTACCCAATCAGACATCAAGAGACTACAACAGACAGTCAGGACTGCTCAGAAGATTATCGGTGCCCCTCTACCCAACCTCCAAGATCTTTACATCTCCAGAGTGAGGAAAAGGGCTAAGAAAATCACTTTGGACCCCACACACCCAACCCAATCTCTCTTTGAACTGTTGCTACAGAGCACTGATCACCACAGCCAGACACAAGAACAGTTTTTTCCCTGCAGGCTATATTCAGCCTGAACAATTAAAATGTTCATAACTATACCTTGTCTATCATAACAGACACATTTATACATAGAATTCGAAAACTGTACATTTGTAAACTGCCTACTTGTAAATCTATACATTCATTTAAACAATGACATGTTTTTTTTCCTCATATTTCAGCTTCATTTTATAGTGCATTATTTAATTTTCTTATTTCTTATCTTATATTAGTGTTATATTTCATGTCATTATATGCACTATCATGTATGTTTGCACTATGTCTGTACTTTCTGCTGCACTGGAAGCCAAGTCCTTGTGTGTCGAAACATACTTTGTAATAAAGCTCTTTCTGACTTCTGCAAAGGTTGTTTGTGCACATTTTAGTGCAGGTTTGTGGTTTGTTTTACGTGGTTGAATTCCAGCCATCGAAGATCTGATCCAGAATCAGTGCAAAAAGAAAAGCATTGACATTGAATTCCCCACTGAGCGGCCCTGAGATCTGGATTATTCAGTAGAGACGAGACACACATGCAGTAAAAAAGTAAATCTTCCTGTAATGGAACAAACTGAATGCAAATACTTTGAAAATAGTATTTGTGTAAGCTAAATCAGCAGTGGTCTCATTGTGTGACCTAATATGGTATTAAATGTCTTTATTCTTGCTATGGCCAAATTGTAATGGGATCTCATCACCAGAGATTTGCATCATCAGTTATTGTAATGAAAATAACAAAGACAAGATCGATTTTGAAAGAAAGAAAAGAGGCTAAACCAGTTCAGGCAGTTTCTCCAGTCGCTTCATGCGTCACAGAAGCTGATAGACATGTTTACTCCGCTGCTCTTTGCTGTGATTACTGGAGGTTTGATGCTTCAGTAGCTGCCTGCTTCAAGGATTTAAATGAAAAAGAAAAAAGGAATAAATACTTCCAGATCTGGATTTAGGTGAGTGTCATATGAATATATAGAATGTTTTGCATTTCTAGATTGTATTCAGATATTCTGAATTGTATTCTGTCTGACCTATAAATAGTGAAGAATGTTAAATATTTCTTCTTCATTGAAAGTAATTTCTTAGTTTTTCAACATCCAACTTAGGCCTATCTTCCAGGTGAATGGCAATCTCAGACATTCAAACTTTTATTCCGACTCTGTATTTCATTATGGGCCCTCCGAAACCAGCTCAACTGGTGGCTCCAACCACATTAAAAAATGTTACAATAATAAACGTGTGAAAGCGTGAGATATGATATGTTATAGTTAGATACGGCACCGCTAATGCAACATGCATCGCCGTGAATTCGTAAGTATTTTACGAGGTGGCTAATTCGTATCACCTTACTTGTACGATATTGTGCGATTTGTCTTGACCCCAGTGATGGGTAGGTTAAGGGCCGGGGTTAGGTCATTCGTACAAATTCATACGTATTGGAGAACTCGTCAAATACGTGTGATTTAGCAAAATTCATACAAATTCATACAAGTGAGGTCATAGAAATTAGCCACCTCATAAACTCTGTATGAATTGCCGTGAGATTGGTTTGGAGTATCTCTTCAGCAAACCGATGCGCAAACTGCCGCAAATGAAACTGAAGTATGACGCAGATGCTCACAATCATCTTCATTAAAAGTAGTGAGACTAACTTATCTTTACAGTGCTGATGCCGCGCTCTCTCCTATTGCGGTGTTTGATCTTGAAGTTAGCTGATAATAAATAAAATGCAGTGCTTATCTGTTGCATTCGTTGATGTGAAATTTGCATATAGTGCGGGAACTGAAGATCGGATATATATCCGTTTTGCGAAGACACATTTACGTGGCCAAGTGTAAATGGAAACATTTTAGCAAATCAACAAAATGCATAAAGTGACCACGTGTATATGATTACGCTGTTACTAATGTCTGTTCAGTCAGAATTAAACGATTTCTCTTTATTAGTTATGCAGTTTTGTATTTTTGTGTTTTCTGCAAAAGAGATGCCAATGAGAGACCAAAATACATCTGAAGAAAAAGAAAAACAGAAAAAGGAAAGTGCACTGAGAGACGAAGCCAAACCTGCGCAGAAGGAAAAAACAACAAAGAGAGGGGAAAAAATGCCTGTGGATTCAGAGAACACCGAAAAGTGCACCGGATGAACAGCCTTGACAAATATCGACCAAAGTGTAAGAATGTTTGAGAGGAGTTTCAGATATGAACATAAATAATTGTAGAATCACATGATGTCTATGTGTATGATGTGGATGTTTACCATAATAAGATTTGTGCAGTGCAGAACCAGACTGGGTTTTTAGTTAAACTGAATAAATGTTCACTTCATAAGAATACATATGAAGTGAAATCCTGCTATAATAAATCAGAATGTATCACATATTTATCACATATATAAAAAACAGTTATTTACTGGTTTTCACCAAACACTGCAACACTGATTCATAAAAGATTAATATCAATGGAATAGTTCACCCAAAAATTTTAAATTGATGAAAATGTACTCACTGTCAGTTCATCCAAGACATAGATGAGTTTGTTTCTTCATCAGATTTGTATGTAGAAATGTAGCATTCTATCACTTGCTCAGCAATGGATGCTCTGGAGTGAATGGGTGCCGTCAGAATGAGAGTCCAAACAGCTGATAAAACATCACAATAATCCACAAGTAATCCACACCTCTCCAGTCCATCAGTTGTTCTCCATGTCTGGAGAAGATAAAAGCTGCATGTTTTTAAGAACATTTTAATAAGTTTTTAACATCAAACTGTTGATTCTGACTAAAATCCATGACTAGAGTCCAGAATCCATAATAACGCTTCCTCCAGTGGAAAATCAGGATATGAATCAGGATATCTGAATCAGGAGAGAAATCTGCACAGATTAAGCACCGTTTACAAGCCAAAACAGCTCTAAATAAATATGTGGCTGGATTTTGATGTGAGAGACAACAGGAGATTGACTTTTTCACTGGAGGAAGCGTTATTATGGATTATGGACTCATATATAGCCAGAAGCAATGGACTAAAGTTGAAAAAGTCTAAATGATGGATTTGTTTCTTACACACAGCTTTTGGCATTAATTAATTGATGGACTGGACAGGTGTGGATCAATTGATGTATGGTTTGTTATGATAGGACAATATTTGGCCGAGATACAACTATTTGAAATTCTGGAATCTGAGAGTGCAAAAAAAAAAAATTCTAAACATTGAGAAAATCGCCTTTAAAGTTGTCCAAATAAAGTTCTTAGTTTTGATATATTTACGGTAGGAAATTTACTAAATATCTTTATGGAACATTATCTAATATCCTAATGATTTTTGGCATAAAAGAAAAATCGATAATTTTGACCCATACAATGTATTGTTGGCTATTGCTACAAATATACCCCAGCGACTTAACACTGCTTTTGTGCTCCAGGGTCACATATTATTGACAAAGGACTCGTATTTTACCCAGAAGCAATTTTATAAAGTTAAAAACACCTTAATGATTGACTTGTTTCTTACAGACACAGCTTTTGGCTTCTCAAGACATTAACTGATGGACTGGAGAGGTGTGGATTATTGTGATGTTTTTATCAGCTGTTTGACTCTCATTCTGACGGCACCCATTCACTGCAGAGCATCCATTGCTGAGCAAGTGATGCAATGCCACATTTCTCCAAATCTGATGAAGAAACAAACTCATCCTAATCTTTAACGGCTTGAGGGTGATCACATCTTCAGCAACATTTCATTTTTTGGTGAACTGTTTTTTTAATGCATGAAGCACATTTAATGAAGTGGCAGTTTTTGGTTTTATTCTGGGGTTGAATATGATCAGGAAGGTTGATGTGATTCACTCAAACAGTAGCCTGAATCTTTGTTTATTTGTTGTCAGTCTCTCCTCATCCATACTGACCTGCAGAAAATCATTTTATGTGAGAGATATTTAAGGATGAGGTGAGAGATTCACCGCTCATTTTCAAAGAATTGGTTTGTATGTGTTTTGATTTCTAACATTGTGTTTTTCTCTTCAGAAAGAAGCTGTTTTCTCACCTAGAATGTTCTTCACATCACTTTCAGTCAATGATTCAAAATGAGACTGGAATACAAAACACCAATATTTTTGAGTTCATAACTTGATGACTATAACTGTACTGTGTACATATTTAAACATATTTAGATTTAATATTGTGCACACAGTCTATATGTGTCATATGAAAGTATTATATCAGACAATGTTAAAGCAGTAGCACTGAAATCAAATTTTTGTACTATTTGAACTGTAGCTCTACATAGTTCTCATTTCTAGTATGCGCAGAATTGAGAACAATGACTGTAAAGCAATAGTTGTTCCAGAAATGCCAGGTCACTCTTTTCCATGTGATCATACAGTGAGACTGGAGATTTCAGAATGAGACTGGAATACACAACTTGATGACTATAACTGTACTGTGTACATATTTACATATTTAAATTTAATATTGTGCACACAGTCTTATATATGTGTCATATGAAAGTAATATGATCAGACAATGTTAAAGCATTAAAGCAG